CCCAGCCCCCTCACACCCTTCTTAAACGCGGTGGTATTTTCCTTCTGCTGCCATCTCTGACACTCACACAGGTCAGCGAGGCTTAACACAGGGGTTAAACCCTTCTGGGAAAGAAGGAAAGTAACCGCCAGGTGGGTGAGCAAGGCTGACTCCCTGCCGGTGCCTCACTCCAGGCCATTCTGACAAAGCTTGGGAGTTAAAGACATTTAAACATCAGTCGCTGCAGACAGTTGAAAAGCATGGGCTTGGGCATGCGTTTCTGCACACTAAGTTGGGCCAGCAATGTGGTGGGGTGCGGTCAGCCTGGGCCAGCTGTCCTGGAAGGACACTGGCCACGGGGTGTCCCGGTGCACGAGCCAAGCCTGGGAGCTTCGGTGTGCGCATTCGCCTCCTTGTTAGAATGTGACTCGGCCTCTGACCTCCGACCTCTGATTGGCACTGGGCACGCAGGGGTGCCCGTGGATATTTTCTTTCCTTCCTTCCTCACAGTGCTGGGGGTCGAACACAGAGCCCCACACACTCTAGGCAAGTACTTGATCACTCGGGCCACACCCCTGGCTTAAGTGACTTCTTTTCTCCCTTCCCTCCCCATCCCTTCCGTTCCCTTCCTTTCCCTTCTTCCCTTCCTCCCTTCCTCCCTTCTACTCTCTTTTTTTCTAAAATGATTGCCTCTCTAACCAAAAATTATCCTCATGGGAGAGCAACAGAGAGAGAACGACAGAAGTGTCTTATCTTTCAGGAGCAGAGTGCAGCGTCCGGGACACTTACTGGAGGACCTGCAAGACACAAGCAGAGAAGCCACTGTCAGCGAGGTGGGCAGGAAGCGTCGGCCGGCCTCTCTCCGGCACAGCTCCTGGTGCCTCTCCCCTCCCCTCCCCTCCCCCTCTGCTCCTCCCCCCTCTGCTCCTCCTCTCCCCTCCCCTCCCCCTCTGCTCCTCCCCCCCTACCCCCTCCCCTCCCCTCATGGGGTGGCCGCGGGGTCACACTGTCTCCTGTGACAGCCCCACAGCCGCAGTGCAGAGAGCAGGGCGCCCTGGCCTCGGAGGGACGGCAGCACCCACGCGTCCCGGTTCGCGCACTCGCTACTGCGCAACGGCGGCGACCTGAGGAAGGCGCAGACCCCATTCTCGCTTGGTGGCGGTTGGGTTGGCCGGTTTCTCTCGGTGGAGAGACCCAGGGAGCGAGCGTTCTGGGGAAAGGCGCGCTTGATGTGGCCGAGGCCTGGGGCGAGGTATGCACGTGGACGGAGAGGCACGGAGGACAAGCCCACAGCGGAGGGGCGCCCACGGAGAACACGCAGCACCGCGTGGCCGGCCCTCCCGACCGCGGGTCTGCATTGTGGACTCGGCCAGTCGGAGTCCAGAAACCCTCGGAGAAGCACTGTGTCTGCACTGAGCACCCCGACCTCCGTCCTGTCTCACAGGGTAACAGCTGCTTAGACGACACTTAGCCAGGTCGTCTAGAGGCAAGGTAACGCACACAGGAGGGTATATGCAGACCTTGTACTATTTCCTATAAGTCTCAGTTCCACGGGGCTCCCAGTGGCAGCCCCCTGTGGACACCGGGGATAGCTGTCCTTGACTGGGGAGCAGCGCGTCCTGGAAGACGTCACCCCACTCTCCAGTGCCACGCACTTGCCACCACAACAGAGCAGGAAACCCCAAGTGCCCCCTTCCCACCAGCCCTCCATCAGACCCCGAGCTACAGACCTTCGGCTTGGAAACAGAAGTTCTAACTCCGGGCTACATACCTAGCCCTTACAAATTTTTTTTTTTTTTAAATTTTGAGACAGAGTTTCAATAAGTTACTAAGTTGCCAGATTGGGTTTGAGCTTTTGATCCTCCTGCCTCAGTCTCCCAGAGTGCTGGGATTAGAGCTATGTTCCATCACACCCAGCTAGCACTGCCTTTCTGAGGCTAGACATACACACGTGCCTGCACCTGCACTGTCCTCCTCTCCACGCCCCTCAGGTTAATGTGGAGGAACCGGTCCACTTCCAGTTATGGCCAGTTACCCTCTCTGCCTCCCTGAGCCCTGCCCTACCCACTGTGCCCTCTCTGTCTGGCACAGTTGAGCATGCCCTTCCATCAGGTCCTTCCCAACAGGGCTGAAACATGTTCTAATGCCCTCAACGGAAAACCCATTCATCAGTCTTCCCTCATTACAGCTTACACCTAGGTGTCCCCCAGGTCCTCATGTACTCCTAGGTGGGGCTTTGGGGAGCTGACTGCGTCATGGGGATGTAGGTCAGTCCAGTGATGGGTTTGTAAGTAACTGTGATGTTGGGAGGTGAACCCTGGTGGGAGGAGATGGGCGCAGGCTGGGTCTGTCTCCCTCCTTCCCCCTTGATCTCTTGTTGCGTCCTGCCTGCCCTGCCATACCGCCCTGCCCTGGAGCCAGCCAGCCATGCACTGAAGCCTCTGCAAACTGTGAGCCAAAATAAACTCTCCTCCCTTAGCTTTCGGGTGTTGGGTGTTGTGTCTCAGTGAAGAGAAATTCTCAAGACACTTCCTTCACTCCTGCCTGCTCCTGGCCTGCTCCTCACAGCCGGATTGTTTCCCAGAGGCGTTCACCCTCACTGTCCCTGGAGTTCCTTGTCTGCGGCTTCACTGTGACCCCTGATCTGGATTCCACCCCCTTCCCCGTGCAGCTCACACAAGGTGCCCTGTGACCTGTCCCATGCCCACAGCCCAGCATCTGCTCCTCATGCCGCTCTCTGCGGGCGGCATCCATGCCTCTGCCTGAGAGTTCTCAGGGCGCTCTCGCCAGGGTCTTCCACACATGCCCCACCCTGTCCTCCCCGGCCTGCCTCACTCACTGAGTCTCCTCTGTCCCCCTGACTCGGGAGGTTTCCTCCGGCTCAGGGGCCGGAAAGTCCTCTCCTCAGCCCTCTGCGCGCTCACCTCTCCTGTCTCCTCCCAGGACCTCCGCTCAGTCCCCTCTCAGGACAGCCCGGTGTGCATCGCACCAGGCCTGTGCATCTGGACCCCCTTGCCGGCCGCCTGCTGGCATTTCCCCTGGAAAGTTCAGAGTCTCTCCAAGGACAGCGCAGTGTACTCGCGGCCCTCTCCCCACAGACCTGCTCCCGTCCCTTCGCTCCCGGTCTCTGAAGGGCGGCGCTCTCCATCCGGTTAAGGAACCAGAAAACGAGGGGCCAGCATCGACACATTTTCCCTCC